ACCAAATGAAATGCTTGTAAAAATATTAAAATATTTTTGATATTGTTGAGAGTTTCTTACTTCGTATGAAGTACATCTTCACCAAGTTTTAACGAAGATTTGTCTAGAAAGAAACTTTCATTGTTTATCTCACTAAGAAGTAACTGTACTTGGTATATACACGTGCGTAATCTGAATGAGAATTTGTTTTATTCATGGGTTTAACGACTAATTACATCATATATTACTTCATTATCTATATATGGCCTGGATAAAATCAGTCGCATTAAAAGTACTGTTTGAACTAGTTCAAAAACAAATGCCGAAGCTAAAAAGAAGATCTACATCGCAAAAAAATTCTGAGATGACTAGGAGAATGAGAGAAAGACGGGGTTGATAATGAGTTTCGCTTGTTAGACAATAGAAGACGAGCAAATTCTCATAAAGTTGAACGACAAGATGATGAATTCAAAAGAGAAGAACTGCACTAAGGATGCACGATAGTAGAAATCAATATAGAAGTAATTTTGATGGCATGAAATCAAGTTATGGGTCCAAAATAAAAGAAGAACCTACTCATATCTGTAATTTTAGCGGTAGTTTGTGGTTTAAATATTCAATCAGAGAATGTACAGTTAAGATGTTAGGAAAACAAAGGATTAAAAGCAGAATTTCTTTTTAATGAAAAGCAAAAGCCTAAACCTATTTGAATCATTCTATGAGATACAACGCTCTCTTTCCGTTTCGAACATTGTATAAATCTCGACATATGTGGGTATCGTTGAATAACACGCAAGAAAGATCTTCTGTTCTGTGCTAAAATGTGAACGATCGAACATAGAAGGTTCATTTTACCTTCGGCCAAGCTCTTTTTTTATTATACTTCAGACTGTGACCATCAGATCCTATCAGTACATTTGTTCATAGAAGATAGAGTGGTAGTAAAGAATAAAAAAAAAGAGAAATAGAAGAAAGGACGCAATAATCACAAACAATACAAAGAAAACAATGATGTAATCGTCGTGTACATATAATCAAGTAGTTGGTAATCTTCTTTTTCGATAATGTAGATTTATATGCCAATTACACATTTTTGCCAGGGGAAGGAATCGAACCTTCTGATCTCGAAAGTTCAGATGTATAAAACCACTACGTCATTCCCCGATACCTTCAGTAAAGTTATTTGTTTTGAAAGTATGATACAAATGTTTTTATTTGATTTTCTGAGAAAAAGTTCCTACTTTTTCTTTTAAAATTTTAAAAACTACACGAATCTAATAAACTAATAGAAGAGCTAAACCCATGATAACAACATTGCCAAAAATGAAACCAACAACCAGTTATTGACATGCTTCTTTTAAAACCGCGTTTATAAATTATCTTTCGAAATCGCATACAATCATTGCTGGTTTAACAGCAACACATTTTTAGAGGCTATTTTCTTCAAGCATCGAAAAATGGCCTCATATGTTTCATGTGGCCTGTTAGATATTAAATTGAAACAAACTGGCACAGCTAAAATAAGTAAAAAGAATGAATCAAAACAAAATTTATTTTCGATCTCATATAAGACTATTTTAGTTAACAGTAGACGATGCCACCTATTTCTTCTTATATCTGTTCGTTTTGTATGCGGCATGTCCCTCAGTGATATCCATAGGCTGTTTTTGCTTTTTTTCTCTGACATATACAGATGACTGATTCGAAAGAAAGAAAAAGAACATACATACCTTCTCCATGCTGCATTCCAACACAAATACACAGTTGCACGAATAGTTTTGGAGATATTTTAAATGTGCCATCAGCAAATAATACATCAGAATTGAATAATACATTCAGTTGTTCATCTGACGCAAACATTATTAAACATCCTCCACAAGTACTTTTTCGCTTATCATATATTAATAAACGTTCATTGGGATATGTTTCCATATAAACAGATGTCATAGTACACTTTTGATCACATAGTAATGGGGATAAAGCTTTGCGACGTACTTTATGCATACCAAATTCTAATAAAATAAAGAAGGATCTCAAAAAGGAGATGATACTAATGCGATTAAACTACTATCTGAATTTTTAAAGAAGGCGCATGGAAGAAAAACTTATAACTCTTAAATGGAAAACTATAGCGACCTATGATTTTCACCATTCAGTAGAAGATAGTCGGGAGCACATGCCTATGCATTATAAATGATTTCCCACAGTACCATCCATAGCTAGTTTTAAAGAACATTTTTTCGATGTTTTTGTAGCTCGCATTAACCTCTTTCACATGTTACAAAAGAAAATCTTCGAAATTGTTTACATACTATTCTGAAAAAGACCTGCGGGCCATGAAACTACTGCAAGCATTCGAAAAAAACACTTTTCTTTAAAATTTGTTAGTTTTTCTGAGAATTCATCTACTAAAATTAAGTTGAAAAGATATTTTGGGGATATAGTTTTCACGTATAGGTATGTGTCCCGACTATCCTCTATCTTTCCCTTCAAAAGTTGTAAGATTTTCTTCCGCACGCCTTCTCTAATAATTCCGATAGTAGTAAAAATATTCTAATAAATTCCTTATATAATTTAATTAAATCCAATCATAATAAAATATCTATATGATTAGTGTAGTTATCTTTAAAAATAAATTTATTTTTAGCGAATATTTTGAAATAGATTCTTTTCATTATCATAAGTCATTGTATAAAATTTGTCAAAATTCGAATTAATTCTCAATAAATCATTTAACACGAATTTATCACAGTTTTATTAGTCAGAAATCTTTCAAAGATAATGTTTTGTATTCAATTATTAATAAATATCAAATCTGCTATCAGATTAAATGGTAATGATATATTATCAATTAATGAAATATAGTCAAACTATTTCGATCAAATGAACAATGAACTATTATCAATGCGAGATCCACTATAAAAATGATCCAAAATAATTCAGTTTATATTTGACTAGGTACTTATCTATTGTCAATAAAAATGTAATGAATAACATAATATGAAAGAATAGTTGGCATTTATTGAAATCTTTATATACAAATAATTGTTTTATGATATTCTATAGGAATCTATCTAATATTTCTATTTGTTTAGTTTATTGAAAACTTTATTAAAAAATGAAATAAAAAATATTTATTTTCTTAGACAAGTTTTATTAAATAGAAGTACAAAAATTAAACTATTTTATAGTTACTAAAATGTAAATATAAAATATATCTGAATATATTATTCTCTCGCTCTCTTTCTTCTCAAAATTAATCGAGTAAATTTAATGAAAATAAAATATTTTATTTAACATCATATATTAAACAATCAAAAGAAATAGTTGATACTATTGCTCTGGAGAGAAACTAAAATATAGAAACAAACAAAATAGCTAATAATACTACAAAAATTATTAAACTTAAGAGAACAATGTGTATTACTAATTTGAATTTAACGAGTCATTAGAGACACAATTCGTTGAAGATTAATATTGTACATTGATTGATTTTATTATCTTAAATTTATATTCTTAAATTGATTTGTCAACTTTAACAGAATTATAAAATATTTCAAATGTTTTTGACATAAATTCCATGAGAAATAAGAGATGTTAATTGTATTAATTTGTTCAAAATAAAATAATCATATTCTCCTTTCCATTTATTAGATAGATCAAAATAACTAAATAATAAAAAATATTTTTCTGATAAAAATTCTTATTTTAATTCTTACATTATCTGTTTTATTAATTCATTGTAAAACAATATTATCATCGAATATAATACGTTACGATACGAATATTACTGATAATTTCTTCTTTGTTTTTTCTTTAAATTTTAATAAGGTGTGGATATTATCTATTCACATTCATATGTCACATTCTCAAGATAGCTACCGAATTTTGAAAACGTTCAGTTTCAGGTCAAGGTAGTCATGTTTGATTAGCATTATTTATTTAAAATATTATATTACAGAAAAATAAGTAAACAGTTATACTGCTTTTATCTTAAAAGATGTACAGATGATGATGATGATGATGAACATATTACCAATATCCACCACCATAGCCATATGAATTTCCATATCCACCACCAAATCCTCCACCATATGGATCACCGCCGAAGCCACCACCACCAAAATAATTTCCAAGTTCATAACCGGCGAAAGCACCTACTCCTGCATCAATAAGTGGACTACCAAAGCCAGTATGACGTCCAATTTCATAGCCACCAAGAGCGCCCAATCCTGCATCAAGAAATGGATGAGACATTGTGTATTGATATTTGTTTAATAATCGTCGAATGAAATAAAAATTTTATTATCGAGAAGGTTTAATCGTCGTATTTATATGCTTGTTGAATAGATGAGAGGTACGTCATTAGATTATTTATGAATAGGTGTATATACACGAGCGATTATAATACAACGCACATTGACTCATCCTCTCCTTGAATAATTATACATGTATTCATTTATTTTCTCTTTGACGTTAAATATGACGCACGAATATATACGTAAAAGAAATATTATATATAGCTTAGACGTCATAACAAAGGTTTCTACAGTACACCATCCATTTATTTGATTTTTCATAATGTAATTGTGAACACAATACATTCCTAGCTTCGAAAAGAATAGATCTATGCATACAGCGACTACAAAAACATATGTGAAAAATCTTTAAAGCCTTTTCTCTACTAAAAACAAGCGAATTTTTATAATTGAGGTAAAAGCTTTTGTTTCAAACTTTCCTTTTATGGCTGAATATTCTTGTGTTTCTATTATTTATTTTCGTTTTAAAGGATGTGACTGTAGACTAAAAGAAGAAATTTACACCTTCAATCTTAAGATCTTCAATGAACTCACCCCAGTAAAAGTTAGGGTGTGAGGTGGATAAAATATATATTTTTTTAAAAGAAAATATAAATAGAGTAATTATGTCCACACATAATTTAAAATGCATATACTTGATTTCAAAAACATTTTATTTAGTTAATTGAATTGTATGTTAATCTTCAGTTATAGATTTAATAGTATTAAACCTCACTACTTGAAAACTATAGTCAAGCAAATATTGATTAAGCTAATTGTTTTGTGCTCGTCGTGAATATTTACCTATTAATTTTAAATATTTTAATTAGAATGCAATACTTTTTCTATTTATATAAAATAAAATTCTCATTATTCAAATACAAACTCATTTCAAGTTCAATATATGCTAATATTAAATTAAATAGGTATTGCTGAATTTTTCACATGAGAGATAAAAATTAAACAACAAAAACAATTTACTATATGAAATGATTATTAAAATTCTAAATAGAATCAAAGAATAGTATACAATCTGAAAAAGAGAAAAAAAAAGTAATTGTAAATAATATATAACAGAATTTCAATAGCTACATGATCAAGACAAATTATTAAATGGTGTAATCGATGCATGTTTTTGAGATACTAATCTTGCAGAATATTTGATTAATGATGTATACTATAATTTAACTTTAGTTGGTGAAAGTTGAGAATAAAGATGAATATCAGAACGATCTATGCTCTAATTATATCATTTGTTTTTTTCTGTTTGTGAAAAGCAAATTCTTTTTGTTGAGATTAATAGAGATACTTATGAATGATTATCTTTAGACATTTCTTTAGAGATATAAAACTTGAATATTCTTTTATTATTGACAAAAAAAAACATTAGCTGATTTGCTTGAGTCATAATCGAGATATACGTTCTCGTCCTTTTAATCTCTAATATAATTTATTTCAAAATTTTCCAGAAGCAATTTAGAATGAACTAAAAGTTTTTCAATGATACTCTTTTCTTGTCAACGAAAAATAAAACATAAGATGATACTGTCAAAGAATATGTCTTTGTTGTCCTGGATACTAAACGTCAGAAAAAAACAATAGAAAAATGATGTTACTATTGATTTTTCTGTGTCAATCGATAATAACGATCAACATGTGTGAGTAACTCTTTATGTGTATAATGCCAATGCTAAAGAAATATAAACAATTTTTTTTATCTTCATTAAGTAGTAGAATTTTTCGATTTGTAATTAATGCTCTAGTAATAGTTATAAATAAGATTATTTAATTCTCTCTTTTTATTCACGTCATAATTGAATTGATTTTGAACCATATAATGCTTTGTATTCCTTTATTTTAATAATAAAAAATAAGAAATGTATTTTTCAAATTTGATACTTGTAAAACAATCGCAACTAAGAAATAAATCAGATCCAGTGGAACAAATAAAATAAACATCATTGAATTGCAATTGTTCTGAGAAATTAGTTTATTTAAAGAAAAAAATAAGAAGAACTAAATATATATTTGATTGATTATTGATCAAAGATTTTCAAATCAATAATTCAAAAAAACTTTCAACAACTTCAATTGCTTTTCCATAGTCTGGAGATCTATAATACAGAAATTTTATTATTTTACATATATATCTAGTAAGAGATAAAACAAAATCTTTTGCTTGTAATAGTAAAAATCTCCGATCTTTATCTTCTATCATTTTCGTATTTCTGGAAAAACAACTATACCTTTTAACTTTTGAAATGAAACATGTACTGTGGCGGTCCAACAATGAACTTACTAAATACTTCGGTGATAAAAGTTTTAAATCGAAGAGTACACTTGAAATTGAAGAAGATTCAAAGACATTTTTTTGCGATTTTTTGAAAATTGTGGATTTGATTCAGAACTCTTTTCATCCACTTCTTCGTTCGTATCGATCTGTATTCATCTTTTCCTAGTCATAATCGTATATTATACGGAGACCCGATGTGTGAAGAACAAATAAACAAATTTTCTTCTTTATTATTTCAAGGCCCTTTTTATAATTGAATTGATCAAGTAAGGAGAAGAAAATTTTTCTTATTCACTAACTAAGTTTATTTTAGAAAAGAAACTAGCTATTTATACCCTTCCTGTCCAGGCATACATATATACATACAAATACATGATAAATATTCAGGAAAGCATAAAAGAGAAAGAGATTATGGACAAAGGAAAATAATGAGAGAAAAAAAGAGGGTGATGTCAGTGCATCCTCCTCTTACTTCTCATCAAAATGAACAAAAACAAAGAAGATGATGAAATTCATCTTCTTTCTTACTGTGCAAGAAGTAAACGAAAATATAGAGCAAAATAAGAAAAAGAAAGAAGATGAAAATTTCAATATAATCTTATGAACAGATAAGAAGGAAAGACACCTGGACGAACAATATAATCGCTATGTAGAATATAGAAGAAAGAGAAGAAAAGAAAAGAAAGACATACTTACATATATATATATACACATACCAACGAAAGAGTAGAGAAAAAAAAACGAATAATACGAACGTTGTTAGAGTGCTCTCTAACATTGCTATATGAGATATTGAATCAGTTTATAGAGAAAGAACAAAAATTTTAATGTTAGCAGCAATAAATCTTGGTGGTTGTTGTACGAACGGTAACGGTTTTCTTTTTGATAATTTTGACGGGTGGTGCGCAGCAGCATACATTGGTACGTACACAACATCGTCGACCGCATGGTGCTGCACAAGGACCACAACATGGACCACAGCATGGTTTTGCACAGGGACCACAGCATGGCTCGCAGCATGGCTCACAACAAGGATCACAAGTTGAATCACAGCTAGGATCGCATTTGGGTCCACAGCAAGGACCACATTTGGATGGACAACAAGGAACACATTTGGGTGGACAGCAAGGAACACATTTGGGCCCACAGCAAGGGCCACATTTCGGTCCACAGCAGGGTCCACAGCAAGGACCACAGCAAGGACCACATTTGGGTCCACAACAAGGACCACATTTGGATGGACAACAAGGAACACATTTAGATGGACAGCAAGGAACACATTTAGATGAACAGGAAGAGCCACATTTGGGCGCACCACAAGGATCACAACAAGCATCACTGCTGGGAGCACAGGAAGCAGCACAGCTTTGAGCACAGCTTGGAGAACAGCTGGGAGCACAGCTTGGGGAACAGTTAGGAGAGCAGCCGGGAGAACAACCTGGAGAACAACCTGGAGAGCAACCTGGAGAACAACCAGGAGAACAACCGGGTGCACAACCAGAACCAGAACCGGGAGCAGAGCAAGGACCAGTATTAGAAGTAGAGCATGGTTCACAGACAGTTTCACCACATGGTTCACAGCAAGAACTGCTAGGACAACCACGGCGTGATGAACGAACAACGACTGGCATATTAATAGTAATAATGTAGTATAGAGTAAGACTGAAGTACGATGAGAGTTGATTTATGAAACTATGAGAATAAGTGTGTGCATATATATATAGTGGTAGAGAAACGAAAAGAAAACTTATTTTTATTAGTTAAAAACAATTCAATACTATTCTGATATGACAATACCTAACATATACATGTGACTAGAGAAACATATGTTGAAAAATAAGTAACGCTTTGTTACTATTCATGCAATACATGAAACATCAACTACTATTGCATATCATTTCTTACTCATGCAATACAACAAAAATATGAAATTCACACTTATTATCAACGTTTTTCTTTTGATTTGTTTCATAGTGTGGAAAACATCTAAATTTAATTGCACATTGATTTTAGTGGGTACAACTATGAAAGGGTAAATGTCATTTGATATACTTTTTACTAAAAAACAGTACTAATCAACAAAAACAAACTAAATGTTTTTCATGAAAAATATTTCTTCTTACGTTCTAGTACACATACACTGTAATATCATCATCATAATACAGCACAATAAAATGCATTGAGAAAAATATATAACATATGAATATAACAACAACAACAACACTGATTTCATATATCAATTGAGTACAAATGAATGTTTCGATGATACCAACACGTGTAAAAGTGAATATATTGATATTCTTATTTCATTGATTGCTTTTGATCTGTTCAGTGAAGATAAGTTATGAACGATTAAATCAAAGATTGGCGATGATCAACGACAAGAAAGATCAATTTACATTGAACATATCATAGAATTTATAAATAACTTTTTCATGTGAAATCTTCTATTTAGTAATAGTTATGATGATATATGTATTATTTTCTTCCTCATAAAAAGATCGATTAGATTTATAAAAGAAAAATAAAGATGAAATGAGTGAAAATAGATGTTAAATATAACGTAAATAGAGAAAATTCTGTTGATTCTATCTATAAATGATCAGTAAATAGAATAAGAGATAAAAACATTAAATAGATTCCATTCGATGAAATTGTCGTCTTCAGAAATATTATAATATTCTTATTTGTATGCAATCACGACACGCCATCGAATATTGATCTTGATAGAAATAAAACGAATAGTTTTGGGTATTCTATGCATTAATGAACATCTCATAAATAAACTCTATACATTTGAACACTTCAGTATTATATATATATAGTATCTGTTCTCTATGAAACAATCATTAACTCGATTTTTATTCATTTGACTTTGAATAAACTATTTGATATTATATGATGTTATTATGAACTTGAAAATATATGATTGATATAGAAGATTTATCATCATTTCAGTCATTGAAATAATTAATCGAGCGAATTATTTTTGTCTGATAATATTATTATATTCTCATATATTTTTCTTATCTCTTTCAATGTCATGTGATACCAGAAAATCGTATTATATTGGATTAATTTTTTTGCCGATTTTATAATATAAAAATAGCCTAATTAAATTTATTTTCAATGCAAACCATTTAATTCAAACAGATTATTTTGTAAGAGTAATAATGATATTTATTTATAGAAAAAAGTTGATTAACATTCTTTGAAGATTAGAAATTTGATTTGTATATCTATTTCGATTAAGGACTTTTAATATACATATAATAGTTTATTGCTCAATATTAACTCATTAATAGATTTACCATGTTCTTTTACATATGAAATCTGTTCGATGAATTTATCTTATTGATTTTTATATATAATGACGAAGAAAAGCACGTTGCATGTTCTACAAAAGAAATCATATATGACAATCAACTTCGTTTTCTCTTCTGAAATATTTCAATGAATTGAACAGTATATCCTCTACAATAAAATGTATATATAAACAAAAGAAATTTCTATTGTTTCATTTACACTTAAAAATAAAGTAAAATAATCTTTTTTAAATTCTCTATAGTACGTAATATTTATGTAAATACTAAAATATAAATGGAGGATAGTTGTCACTAGTTAACAGTTTCTAGTGCATGATTATTTCATATATATTTCGAAACGTTATTTCAAATTTCATTAAAATCAATTTTGAATTTTTCATCAAGAGTGTTAAACACCAAAATATTCTGTAATAGATGTCATTTATTCAATAATAAAATCATTTTTCCATTTAATTATCAAGCATCAGTTCTAAAAAATCATGAATGAGACTAGAAATAAATAATCTTTTTAGTTATAAACAATAGAATCTTTCATCATTAACAAATGAAGAAAAAACAAATTTGTTGTTCTTTATTCTTGAATAAAAATAATTCAAAATTTCGATAAATTTATTTCATTTAGAAAATTTCTCGGGAAATAAAGATAGTACTATCGATGTAGTTAAACAATCGAAATTAATAGTATGAATAAAGATTCACTATATTATTCAAATATACATTTACTTTCAATGTATACAAGAAATATGTAGAAACTTCGCATTTACATTCGAGTATTATGTGTATTTCATCTTGAAAAAAAAATATAAAGTCTAGTATTGTATAATGATTCATTTTCTTGTTTAATTCTTTACACTTTTAAGAAATCGAATGAGAATAAATCATTCATCTTTCGATTAGTTTTTTACAATAGCAATCGTAAAATTGATTTCAAATTCTTCATATATATATATGTATAGATTTATCATTAAATGTTGTACTTGAGAGTGGATACGTGATTATTAGTACCAATATGACAGATGAATACAATACAAGTACATCAACCCTGCATCTATTTTTCTTATCTGTTAATATTACTTTAGCTTATTCGTTGATTTTTATCACTGATCATTAATATTAGTAATAAAAAATCAACT